TATATATATATATATTATTCATAAATGCCAGATAAAATGTGTAATGTGAATTGTTTTCTTCTGTCGATTCTTCCTATGGCGACATATCAAGAGTCAGTTCGTAAAATTAATAATTAGTTAAGTTAATTCTCAGTACCCGCATCTCAAAAAAGTCCCTATCTATTACATCCGGGTATTTGTAATTCAACGTTTTTTTTTGTTTGTATCTCAAATTGTGCATCGATTTTAACTATTTTTTTTTTAATCTATCGTTTGAAGACTGAAAAAAAAAGAATTTTTGAGTTAGAAAGTCTAAAATGTCGTAGCATAAAAGATATTTTGTAGTAAGTAAAAAGGGATCGAAAAAAAACGTCTAAACTATGAAAATCGAGGGAGGGTTACGCTAATCCTTTGTGAGTACTAAGGATTAATTTGATTAAAATATCAACGACTTATTCATTATTAACATAATGAAGTATGTCGATTATAAAATATACAACTATTATATATTTGTATGTATATAAAAATTGTATGACTGGTGAAACATACTACATATACTACAAGGGGTGGCGTACCTGTAATCCAAATGTCATATCATTAAATTATCTTACTAAACCTATATTTGTAATCAATTTTTTTAAACTGTGTGAGTAAATTCTATACTTCATGGAAATTTTCAGAAGGCAACATGGATTCAAAGGATAGTTGACTTAAAAAATGCATTCTATTTTCATGCTATTAGTTCATTCTTATTGTTGTCAAATATTAAACAAAGGCAAATGATGCTTACAAATAAAATGATGTTATAAGCGCAAAACAGAGTACACCTATCATGTTGAGCATTAAATAAAAGTTGCATTTTTTTTGCGAAAGCAAAAAATTTAGTAATATCGGAAATGTTTCTGTTCATATTGTACAATTATGCCCTTTTCAAGATTTGTGCAAAAAGTAATCAAATATGTATAAAGGCACAGCGACAAAATAACAGTTATATTGAATGATAATTTTTCAAGCTTGCTAATTCTATACCAGTATCAATTCTGTTAAAAATAAATATATGCAGAGCAAATGGATTTTGTCAAACCCAACAAATTTTTACGAAATAATAAATTTATTCGTACAATTAAAAAACCGATACTCCCCACAAGAGTATGGTTAATGAAATAATTAAATGGTGTGACAATTCATGCATCTCCTGCATCAAATAAATTGTAGTACTCAGATTCATCTTAAATCTAAGAAATTTACTTAAAAACATTTTTACATTTGTCTTTTTCATATATCTATAATGCCTTTTATTTGCAACATCATAAATTATTTTGTATTCATACTAAACTTCTTATATTAATACTAAACTTCTATACATTATAAAAAGATAATAGATTCGTATTTTTGATTATACTTATGATAATTTTCAACAAAGAATATTATTTTACATGAAAAATGTAATAACTGTTGTTAGCAAGTACAGTTGCAATAATTTTTTTTAATTAAAGTTAAATTAAGTTACGCGTTGAATGATTCCAATATAATTCTTGTAACCTAATTCTTATAATACAATTTATATACATTCATTTTAGCATATTTGCTTTAATAATAGAGTTTGCTGATTGTAATACTAAAATATAAAGCGTATATCTACAAAATCAAACTTAGATGCGAGATTGTCACAAGAAACATGCACATTCAATTATCCTATTTTTATCAGCTGTCCATTTTTCATCTTTGTTAGATTAAACAGTGCAGCGAACACGACATAGTTTTCTCTCTCCTAAGATGCCCCATAAAATGTAAATCTTCTCATATTAGAATAGCGCAGTCGGATTATCTTTTCTTGCGAATTCTTTGAGTCAAAGTTTACATTTTTAGTTCATCCACGTAGGATGACTCGATAGACACAGGGGATTAGGAGAGTAAAGCAAGTCCTATTGAGGCGGGCCGCCCATCATCCCCATCGGTTGCATGCCTTGGATTCCGTATGGTCCTGGTCCCTGTGGACCTTGACCAGCAGCCATGGGCGAATGCATTTGCATCGCTGTGTTCTGAATTTGCTGTGCGGAAGCTACTTGAGTTCCTGCCGGGGACGGCACGACCTAAACAAATGTAATTTGATACTCTATTAAATTTTTATAAAAATGTTTGTTGGCGACATTCGTTGGTATCTTAAATTATTAAATTTCAATTTAACTATACCATTCATATATGATTTATATTGGGAGCCATATTTTCCATGAATTTATGATTGTAAAATGATTTTTAAAAAATAAAAGAAGAAATAGAATATTGTTATTAGTCTGTATATATTTTACACTGTGTATATTTTAGGGTCAATTCTTTTCAGCTGAATTTCTTACTAAATCATTTATTTTTCCTTCTTTCCTCTCAGAGAAAAAGAATAGATCAATTATGACGTCAACATGATGAAATTAATTAATTTCGATAAATTAATTAATATCGTATAAAAGAAAAAATGGAAAAAAGTCTGATTCTCATTTCTGGCATAATCTAATAGGCATAATCTAATAGCCTTATGATCAACACACTAAGTTTCTTCTATTGAAATTATCACCTGTGATATAACTGGCGGTTCCGACGGTAATGTGAAATTAGCCAAAAGATCGCGTACAGCGGGAAACAGCGAACACTCTGACTGATTCGCCCCGTACTCGGCGAATCTCTTTAGCTGCATAGACGCTGCCGCAATCGCTGAGGGAGGTGGAGTAAGATCTCTTCTATCCGCTAGCTGTGTTATATTCGTATTGACATCATGCACAAACGGCAACACCAAGGACGGCGTCTCTCCTTGATATGATATTCCTAATCTCGTTATTTGCAACTGCGAAATAAGTATAAGTTTAAAGATCGATTGAGAATAAGCAAATCATGTGCGACATAAAGAATATGAATACTCACGAAAAATAAAATTTTACTTCTGCAAACGTGTACTCCTTCCGTACCAGGAGGCACGATTGGCCCCGCGGAAGGTGGGATACGCAAACACAATTGCACGGACCACTTCAGCTGCTGCTGCTGCACAAGACTGGGAACTAGATCCAGTTTCATTATTTGCACGAAATCCTTTAACACTTTGAAACGTACGTTAAGCATCCTTCCGAAACCGGACAGCGTGTTGTGTTTGTAAGGCGGGGCAGCTACCCGCGTGTCGAAGAACTTTTCGATAATCTGCGAATAAAATAGTTTATTTCTTTTTAATTATTCATACTGAGAAAGTATAATCATCATGTTATCATATTAATT